AGTGTGTCTTTGGCAGCTGGTGAATAGCAACCAAGATGCTGCTGAATAGAATATTCCACCGTGCACAAACAGCTCCCTACAACAAAAAATTACTCGTTCCCAAATGCCTTGAGTGCTGAGGTCAATGAACCCTGGAGAGGGAGGGAGAGCAGCAGGAGAAAAAGCCAGTAAAATCAGGGTTTTCTTTGGAACAAAAGAAGCTGATTCCAAAATTCTTTTTTAAAAAAGATTTATTTATGCATACAGAACTGGGGTACAGGCCAGAGGTGCAGGAGCAGTGAGAGGATTAACCAGAGGCAGAGTGGGGAGCAGAAAAGGCACAGTGATTGAATACACAGCTGAGGGGAGCAGTGGGCAAGACAGGAGAGGTCTGCTGTGCCAGGTGAGTCAGCTCCGGGGCCAGGGATGGAACTTGCACTGAAGCAAGTGCTGCATCCCAACCCGTTGCACCACCAGGGAGGGCCTGATTCAGAAATTCTTGTAAAAAAAAAGTGTGAATAGGCCCTCCCTGGTGGCACAGCAGGGTTAAAGCACAGCACTGAGAATCTAAAGCCGCTTCTGCATGAGTTCGATCCCCGCCTGCCCCAGAGGTGACCACATGGCGCAACAGACCTCTCCTGACCCGCCCGCTGCTCCCCTCAGCAGTGTACTTTGTCGATCTGCCTGTTCTGTTCCCCACTCTGTCTCTGGTGAAGCCTCTCACTGCCCCTGAGCCTCTGGCCTGTACCCCAGTTCTGTATGCACAAATAAATCTTAAAAAAAAAAAAGTGTGAATAGCTAGGAGGGAAAATTTTAAAGAAGATTAAATAGAGTAACTAGCTTCAGCCTTTTAAATAATATTTAATTAAATGTTTATTTACTATTTATATATTATAAATATTCCTATGAAAAACAAATAATTTCCTTCCTATATAAAGAGTCCTTACAAATAAAAGAATGTTTTTAAAAATTCTTGCAAATGGGAAAAATAGAATCTACCACAAAAAGATACACAAATGTATTATAAATATGTGGAGGAAAGCTCCACATTGCTTGCAATTAAAAGAAAATAAAATGAAAATCATGAAATAGCATTTTTCAATCGTTAGATTAATGGAGACTGAGATCTGATGATACAGAGAGTTGCCAAGAGTGTGTGAGAGTAAAATTCTCATGTTCAGTTCTTGAGATTATATATTGACACAGCCTCTTTGAAAAACAGTTTGGAAATACCTGTTCCAGACTTAAGTATACATACCCCTTCATCCAGCACACATCATTCCAGGCATGTGTTCTCAAAGATGTAAGCAGAAGTATGTTTGTCACAATATTCGCATCAGGCTGAAATGACCCAAGTGTCCATTAGGAGAGAATCTGTGAGCCCTCCCTGGTGGCACAGCTGGTTAGAAAAGCAGCACTGCAAGTTAGCTGCAGCCGCTTCAGTGAGAGTTTGATCCCCGGCCCAGGAGGTGACCCACATGGCGCAGCAGACCTCTCCTGCCCACTGCTCCCCTCAGCAGTATACATCAATCAATCTGCCTGTTCTGCTCCCCACTCTGTCTCTGGTGATCCTCTTACTGTCCCTGAACCTCTTGCCTCTACCCCAGCTCTGTATGCATCAATAAACAAATCTTTAAAAAAGAAAGAGAGGCACTAAAAAAAAAAAAAGAGGGAACTTGTTTACTCTTTGGTGCATATTTACATAGAGCTGATGCAGCTTTTTAAAGGGCTGAGATTTATTCCTAGGCACACATCTAGTAGAAATGAAAACATATGTCCAAAAAAAAAAAAAAAGACTTGTACAGAGAATTTCATATCAGCTTTATTCATCAAAGCCCCCAATGGGAACAACCCAAGTGTCCATCAAAAGAGAATAAACAAATTTCTGCAGATTCATATCATGGAACACTACTTTGCAACAATAATAAATGATTGGATACACACAACAGGAATGAACTTCAAAAGTATTTTGTTACGCAAACTGTATCAGACACAAAAGAATATGTGCTGTATGATTCCATTAATTGAAATTCAACAGGCAAAACAAACCCAATGTGACAGAAATCAAACAGTGGTTACCCAGGAAAGATGCAGTTACGGAGGGGGGTGGAGACCTTTCTGGGCAGAGAGAGAAAAAGAGGGATATGGGGGTTACTCACATTCTATATGAGTATCTGAAATTGTGCGCTAAGGATCTGTGACTTTCACCAAATTTAATCTTTAAAAATAAAGTTTTAATGGGTAGGAAAGAAAACTGGTCAGACTTGCTATGTTCTGATGTGGAATGACCTCCAAATAGATTGCTAAGTGGAGGCTAGAGAGTGTGAAGGAGGACGGAGGGGTCATCCCCCATCTGTGAAAAGAGGAAGCCTGGGTGTATGTAGTATTTCTGGGAGGGCAGGTAGGAAACATTTATTGGTTGCCTTTCTGGGGGGCAGATAGCGGATAGGAGCCCTCAAGGGTTGTACTGTAGGAAATTCTTCCACTGTGTACATAATAAATTTTAACATAAAATATAGCTAAAATTTCTTGATTAGCTAAGAGGGCGTTCTGAGGTTGAACTCTAATATTCTTCAAGCCTCCATAGCAAAAGCAAGGAGATCGATCAAAATTGCTCTGAAACTGCCGGGGGGGGGCGAGGGCGGGGTGGGGGGGTCGGCATCTGTATCTCTGAGGATAGAAATGGGCGTCCGGACTTGTAAAAAAGTCTGGAAGACACGCCCGGGGCAGGGAGGTGAGAACCCGAGTCCTGGCCTAGGAGTCACGTGAAATCAACAAAATATCTGATGTCAAGACTTTCGGCCTGAAATGATAAGAATCCTGTTTACCCTGTGTTGAAGAATGTGAAGCCCATTCCACGGCGTGGAAAATTTGATGGAACTTTTTTTTTAATGTGCTACCCTGTTTGTTTGGGAGATGGAGCGGACCTGGAAGGAGTTCTGAGTAGGAATAGGACTGCTGGCTGCAGTTTTTAACCAGAGAATCAGACTTCAGTGCTTATTTCCAGAAGTAAGAACAGGCCACCAATGGTCTTCCGCGAAACGTCTGCTCATTTTGAAAAGCGGCCTCTGCCAGGGGCCGACATCCCTGTTCACTGGACCCGCCAGGCCTCTCCCTAGGGAAATGCCCGACTGAGGGGGACAGGGAGGGAGACCCGCAGCTCATCCACCCGGGCCCCTAGTTCTGAGACTAGCGGGTAGGGGGCTTGGCCTTTAGAAGCCTAGTGGACATGTGGGTCCTGAGGAAGCGTCAGCACAAATATGTGTGCAGCAAACCTTGGGCCCAAATCTCTGTTTCAGATGCCAAGGAGGAAAAACTGAAAGGTTTGGGGTAGATTCTCTTTCCAACATGTAGAGGAAGATTTAGGTGGTGGAGAGGTCTGAGAGGACTTTGGCAAGTGGCTAAGGGCCAGATGGAGCAGGAGTGAGCTGTGTGATATACTCTGAGCTGCAAACATACGGACTTGTGGGGACTTCATTTAGTCCAAACAGATAGGAGGTCAGGGAGAGTAGAAAACCCATGACTCTGGGGCAATGGCCTTGGCTCCTCTAGTCCAGCCCCTTCCTGATAGAAACCAGGGCCCAAAGAGTGGACTGATGAGGACCTGCTCAGCTGGTAGCCTCCAGTGCGGTGGGTCTGGAGGAGCCCAGGCCTTTGGGAATGGAGGCAGAGCTAAGTCTTTGACCAAACCACCCTCCTCCTACCTAGGAGTGTGTTTCTATTGAGTTCTATGGAAAGGGAGCCACTCAAGTACCCTGGAGGGAGGGCAGCCCTCTCAAAGGGAAGTAATTCCAGGCCCTACTCAGCACCTGCCCAACATCCTCCCCCCACACACCTATTTCTTTTTTCTTTTTTTTTTTTTTTTTGAAGCTAGATTTTGCAATGGGTGGTAACCTCTTGCTTTCAGGAAACAGGCCAGTTCCCCAAGTCCAAGAGATGGGTCATGATTGGTCTCATGGACTCCAGTTTCCCTTTATCGGTGATTGGAGTGAGCGAGCATGTAACCTAATTCTGCCTAGTGAGACATAAAGTGGAACCTCTAGGGGCTTCTGAGGTGGACTTCTTTCCTAACAGGGGAACATACAGTTGGCACCTTCGCAACCCCTGATACTCCTTTATCCCTGCTCTCAATGCAAATGTGTATGTGGCGTCAGTGTCCACGACTTATCTCCGCCCAGACTTCCCGCTCAGGTTACCGTAAATAGCCTTATGGTTCAAGCCACTGTTAGCTGGGCGTCTCTTATTTGCACCGAAAGCATTCCTGATGGGCACCAGCCCTGGTAGTGCCGCTCCCGCCAATTTGAAGTTTACTGCCAGCTTTGACCTGCCTTGGGATTCACTCTCCAGAAGCCACACCCAGCCATCTCGTCGGAGCTCAGCCAAGTGGAATGTGGGCGAGGACTCCACCCAATATCCTCTGCTGTTAGTCTCACTGGTTCCACGCATCCTTCAAGGCCCCCTTGGGTGACCTTGCCTACTACCACCAAGTGTACATCTAATTGACTGCGCATCAATGGTTTATTTACCAATCACACTGATGGTGACCTGCACCGGACCAAGTGGGAAGTGCTGTGGGAGCCCGCAGGGCCGGGGCAGACTGTCAAGGACAGCAGCTTGGGAGCAGCAGTGGAAGGGTGGCTTTTATCTCAGTGGGGGCATATTGCTCTCTCCAACCAAAAGCTCACAGTCCTGTGCCCTCCAAGGAGGCAGCAGAAGGGGCCTCTGCTTCTCTGACCTGCCCTGAGCATCAGGGTCTTGGGTGGATTTGTTCTTGGTCACTCATCTTTCACTCCGGGTTCCATGGAAACAAGACCCTAAGGAGAAGTGGCCATGGAGGTGGAAGACCTGGACACTTCACTGCACCAACCTGAAGTGTGACTTTGGACATGTGTCTTGACCTCTCTGAGCCCCAGTGAGAGATTCACACCTGCCTTCTCGCAGGGCTGCTGCAGAGCTGGAGGAGGAGCTAGTGGGTGCACCACACCGGGAGGCCCACACACAGGAGGCGGGTGGCGAGCAATCGCCCTCCTCCCCACCCCCTGCCCCCCTACCACCACGGAGAGTACGGCTTGCCTTCCCAGGGCAGCGGCTTGGCCAGGAGTCATCCCACCAAGGACCAGGTTCTGGTTGATCTTGAATGGTTTCCTGGGGTTCCCATGCTTTCTCCTGCCCTGAGAAGTGTCCCCCATGGACCGCATGCACCTACCACGGCCTCTTTTCCAGGACAGCACAAGGAAACAAAATGGGATCAAAGGGGAAGGGGTGAGTGTCCCTCATGTGTCCTCCATAGGGGTTCTGAGGGCTCCACGCTCATGCTGGACTTTGCCCAGTAACTTCAGGTAGCTGGGCTCAGGGGCAGGGGCTATGCTCAGTGATGCCTGGTCACCCCCAGCATTGCTGTGAAGGCCAGCCAGCAAGGGGGAGGCTGACAGACTCTGAAGTGACCGAGCTGTGTCCACTGAGCCTGTAGGAGAGGAAGGCTCTCGACACCCCACTGGACCCCCGAGGAGCCATCCCTGCTCATACTAGAATGCCAACCCAGTCATGTAGGGGTGGCTCCCAGAAGGGCCACCTGAACTCCAGGAAAAGAGGGGTGCTGGATACTCCAGCCAGGGGATTCCAGCAATGCTGGCCAGACAACAAAGGGACTGAGGGGTTGAAGGAGGCACGAGGGGAGGGGCCAGACTGTCACTAGAATGGAGCGAGGGAAGGAGGGGGCCAGGGAGTGAATGGTGTGCTGTGGGGGCGTCCTCCAGAAGTCAGAACTGCTGGTCCTGGCCCTCTGGGGCGGAGCCGCATCCCAGCCACACTCCCCAGCTGTCCTGAGAGGCTCTGCTTCCTGCTCCGACTCTTGCAGTGGGAAGTCCCAGGGCTGCACCTGTCCTGGATGGTCGACTGGTGTGATCCCAGGCAGCCCCAGGGAAGTTGAAAGAGGCATAGATTCTGGAGGGTGTTTTCTCGCCTCCAGAGCTGGGCCCTGAGTCCTGCCCAGAGGATCCTGGAGCTACACAGGTGGACAGCAGAGCCCAGTGTGGGGCCAGCACAAGGCTGTGGGAGCCTGGCCATCCCGACGAAGATGGCAGGGACCCAGGAAAGATGGAGGCCCTTTGCCTCCGGGCCCATCCCCACTTATGCATCGAGGCCCATTTGGGTCTCGATGGAGTGTGGGTGTCACTGGATCACTTTGAGGTGTGAAGCCCAAAGCTGTGCTGTAGGGTGTGCCAGAGGTTCAGGGGTTCTCGGGAGGGCAGGGGTTGTATGGTTGGTCCGGGGGCTCTTCTTAAGTCTCAACATGCGTCATATTTGCCCAGTCAGGGAAATGATCCAAGTCAAATATGACCCGTCCCCAGGTGTTGACCGCCAGAAACACACAGAAGACTCCAATTATGTTCATCATTAGTCCTGTTTTCACCTGGGGGAGGAAAACAGCAGAGTCAGTCAGTCCCCTGGAGCTCGCTGGAGTCAGAACAAAGGCGAACAGCGACTGGGTCCTTGTGCTGGGGGAGAAAGGACCCCAGCTGGTGGGCTGGGGCCTCCCACCCTGGCCCACGCTCTGTGCCCCCACCTCTACCCCAGACTAAAACAACTTCCTGTCCAGAAAGTGTCAACAGTGCCATGGCACCCCTGTGACACAGGCAGGACAAGGGTCTCTGTCCACCTGAGCATTTGGAAAACTGGGCCTCAGCAGCGCTGAGCCTTGGCGAGGTGATGTGAGGCCACAACCCAGGCCCCCCGGGCAGCCACTGGGGAGCGGGGTTCTGACTGGTCCCACAAGTGCTCTCGGCTTCCTCAGGGCTACCTGCTGCCCTGTCTGACACCTGCTCTGCGTTCCCCGAATGCCATCAGCCACTGCCTTAAATCCTGGTGTAGGTACTTTCCCTTGCAGACTGGCATTGCACTTGCACCCTGGCTTCAGGGACCCACTCTCTCTCCGAGTGCTCCATGGAGTCCCTGGGGTGCCCAGGAGGACTGACACCTGCCTGGGCTGAGGTAGGGAGCCTCGTTTCTGGCCTCCGTGCCTCACACCCTCCCTTTCTTCTCAGAGGTGACAAGGCCAGAGCAGGCCAAAGCCCCTTCGCCCTCTTTCCCTGACCCTCCAAAGCTCCACACACCTCTGGCTGTCATGCACACATCTTGCCCATCTCAGCCTGACCCCTCCTGCCGGTCCTCACTGGTTCTTGCTTCCAAGGCTCTCTTGGCACGTGGAACCCGTGCCCCCACCCCACCCAAGAGCTCTCCTGGGGATGGCTCTGGCTTCCGCAGGTAGGAGACAGGTCATAACCTGCCTCTCCCCTCTGGGAGACAGGATTGTCTATAAACTTTGTGATCGTGTAAATGCAAAATGAGTGTGATCTAGACATTGGGCGGGTGATAGTCCCAATTGCATGACATCAGGTGTCACTATTAAATGGGGCCTCTCTCCTGACAACAGTGAGTGGCTGATAAATGAATAAAAGTGACGGCATTACCATGTCAGAAACCTTGAGGTGTCCGTAGGCAAACACGATGGAGTTAGGTGGGGTGGCCACAGGCAACATGAAGGCAAAGGACGCACTCAGCGTGCAGGGGAGCATGACGTACAGCGGGTTGAGGCCGATGGAACGAGACTGGGCAAAACACAGCGTAGCAATGTCACAGAAGCAGGAAACAACAACTCCGGGGACCATAATTCTGGCCTAATGCGTGTACATCCCCACTCTGCGCCCTTGCCTGCCAGGTCCGCTCCCCGACTCCCTCACCCTGGAAGGTGATCTGTTGGGTTCAGCAGGAGGCTGGACTCAGGCCCTCAGAGGCCTTCCCAAGCCCCTTCCATTCACTGAACATTAATTTCTTGGGCACCTACCATGTGCCAGAGACCAGGCAAGGCACTAAGGCTGCAATGGGTCCTGAGGTGTTCCGCAGCCCCTGTGTGCAGGTGTCTGTCTATCCTGCACACACCAGAACAGGACCAGGACACCCTCTGGCCCGGGCATGCATCTACATGTGTCTGTTTCCATACACAGGTGGGAGCATTCTGCATATGAAATGGCATCCACCTTTATCACTCCGCGTGTCAAAATTCAGCCACAAAAAATAATGTGGAGTACAGAGTAGACAACTCTCATTACATATTTCTTGAATGAATAACAGCATAATGTAGTTCATAATACCGTCAAAATTAAATCAGCTCTCATGCAGCTGTGCATATGCATGAAGGCAGGTTCCTACCCTCAGGAAGCTCAATGCCACATTACACCAGCAAAAAAAATAAAACAGGAAACAGACTCAATGGCCATCAGCAGCAGAAGGGTTCAATTAATTATGTTTATATAAACAATGGACTGTTCATAGCAGTAGAGAAGTGGGTAGGTTTCAAGTGCTGACATGGAAAGCTCTCCAAGATTTATGGTTAGATAAAGAAAAAATTAAGATGCAGAACAGGACTGTAGAATGAGACCATTTGTTTAAAGATATAGAACAATTAAGAAATTCCTATCAAAGTTGTCTTAGGAAAAGCCTAGAGGGATAAGGCCCAT